TTAGACATTTGCATACACGGTTGCCCGCGACTCTTACAACGTCATCGGTCCACATAGAGGGAGGCCTTCCAACGCTACGTCTTCCCGTTCGTCATCAGTTCTTCAAGTGCTGTGGACTGCCATGTTCTAAGAGGGAGGCTTACGTTCAACAGTGGACATCTTGCGGCTGATTATGATGATGTCTCGTTCTGTGTTTAGAAGTAAAAAAAACATAGAAGCCTATCAGCTGCTATAACTATCATGTATAGCAAGCATGTTAGAATAACTTCCTCGCATTATTCAAGCGTCGTTTACTCAAACAAAAGATATACGTTTTTAACTTTGTAGTATATTAATTTGAAAGATTTTTAATTATTTCAAATGATACAGTTCCTAATATGATAAATTACCTTCCATAGAAAACATGTTATCAGCGATAAAATTTTAGAAAAATAATAGATAACGCCCGGTATAGTAAGTAATATATTGCAGCTGGCCAAAGGCCCTGCATAATCAAGCCTCGGGGCCATATCCCCATTGCTTGGGCATGTATCTCGACCAGCGAATGGCTGGTCGGTGATGAGGATGCCCAACGGCCATCCCTTTCCCTGACCGCGGTAGCGGCACTTGCAGGTGTACGGCGTTACACGCGGCATGTAACGCGAGGACATCGTCTTCGACACGGCGGAAGTGCGGTCGACTCCGGCCCCCCAATGGCCAGTTCCGACCGCAGTAGCTCTCGTGGGAGCGGGCGCCCGTCAGGAGTACGGGCGTGGAGACGAGCGATGTTATTCAGGTGTGGATGTGGTCCGTTGTCGGCCCTGTCGTAAATGCGACGGGCCATCCGGACCACAAACTCCTTGATGGACTCTACTCTAAGTTTGCGGGCTATTACGTCATTCATGATGTAGCGCCCGGGCCCCACGATTGCTCGAAGGGCGAGGTTCTGCTGCGCCTGGAGCCTGTGCCTCAGCGAGGCGGAAACCAGTGCGTACCACGCCGGAGCGGCGTAGGTCAAGCGCGAACGGACGTGAACGCCCAGTTTCGTCTTTACAGTAGCTTGGTTGCCAGGATTGGGTAGAGGACCAATTGAGCTGCCCTGACTTGTCGAACTGAGTGTTCGACAAGTCAGGTCGACTTGGGGCGTCATACTCAGCGAGCGGTCTATCCGGCACCCAAGGTACCTCATGGTGTTCTGGTTCGTTATCGCTTGACCTCGTAGCTTAAGCTTGGGTTGGTGTTTAATGTAACGGATGTAGATGGCGGACGTCTTGTCGACATTGACAGACATCCGCCACTTATCCAGCCACTCGGGCAGCAGGTCCAATTGGCGCTGCATCTTCCTCGCCGCAATCGCCGCCATGTATGAAGATGTGAAGAACGCACTGTCGTCCGCGTACAGGGCCATCAGCACGTCTTCATCCGAGTTGGAGGCATTTTGCTCCAAGGTGGGAATGTCATCCGTGTACACCGCATACAGGTGTGGCGATAGACAACTACTTTTTGGTACACCGGCTTGGATGCATTGTACCGCCGATTCGGCTTCCTCGACACGTACGACGAACTTCCGGTTCTGGAGAAATGACGCTACTACTGCACGAGCGCACGGTGGATGGTGGTCTCTTCCAGCAACTTGTACAGTAGGCCCTCGTGCCACACTCTGTGGAAGGCCTTCTCCTTATCGAGAAGGACAAACAGATGCGGCCCTTGTTGTACTGGGCCGCAAGATAGTGCAGCATTGCAGGGAACTATTCTCCGCAGCAGTAACCTTTCAAAATTTTCGCTACTTGCGGCAGTAGCGTAATAGGCCGGTAGCTCGCCGGTTTTCCACTCAGAGGGGAAGTGCGCCGTGCGCAGTATACCATTGTACAGGCGACACAGCGCCACCCGGTATAGTGTTTCCAGCGACAACATTCGGCCGTCCTACATCACACCTTCTTCCTCGAATAGCGTTGTAGTCTGGTGCAAGTGCATAAAATTCTTAAATATGCCAGAAACTCTTTATAATAATAAATATCATCCGTAATATAACTACTGACATCTTCATATATTTAACACCTTCCCTGTGGCTTATCTCTCTCCACTAGGGTGCATATCTCCACTTCCCAGGTTTAGTTACACCTTACCCTGTGGCCTATCCCTCTCAAATGGGTTACATATCGCCACTTCCCAGGTTTCAGTGATTTATCAAACTTGGTAGCTTTACCGGTTAGACCAGTCGTGTATCGCTACGTTGTCTAAGTACCAGTGATGGTGTTCACAATGGATATCCATCACCAGTTCATGCCTTAACATCTTCAGACTACTAAAATGATTGGTAGCTTAACCGGGTATATCAGTTGTGTATTGCTACGTTGTCTAAGTACCAGTAATGGTGTTCACAATGGGTATCCAATACCCGTGCTTGCCTTGACATCTTTCAAATAATAAAAAGCTCAGTAGCTTAACCGGGTAAACCAGTTGTGTATTGCTACTTCGCCTAAGTACCAGGGATGGTGTTCACAATGGATATCCATCGCCCATTCATGCCTTAACGTGAATTCACTTGCCATGTGAATTGAAGGACTTGCACTGGACAATTAGTTAATACACAAAACCTTGGTCTATAGTAATTACCCTGTAATATCTTGATACTGTATTTACAAATATTTTACATTTCCCAAATATGTTAAGTATTAAATTAACTGTAACGCACTCACCAAGACTGTCATCACACTTAACCAAAAGATTTTATCACTTACTGTTCCGTATAGAGTTTATTATTTAATATTTAATTTTCTTTTTATTATTCTTACGTTTAGTATTATCTAAAATAGAACAATTTGGAAGTAAACGATTACTGGCAAGCACTCTAATTTGGATTCAACGACCGTTTTTACATCGACAATACATTTTACCAATTGACTTTTGACACTTACGCTCTAACTGCGAACAAGACTCAGAGCCATGTAAACGTAGTGGTTATATTCTCTTTGCTCAGTGCGCGCTCGGCTAACGTTTAATGTCACGTTAATGACGTTTTGGCCAACCCTATTTTCTTTTTTCCTTGGGCCTTTCATTAAATACTAAGACAGTTCCTCTACCGAACCTGTGGATAAAAGGAGGTCGTGGACGCATCAGGCCAGAAGATATTCTACACCGGGCCCGGGTTGACGACGGCAACAGAAGATAGTTCAGGTCAGTGCTTGCCAGCCTTTATATTTCTTAAGACTTACGTATAGTATAAAAACACTTTTTTTACGATGGTAGCTACCCAAACAAAAAATATAACGCTGATGGTCTGAACAGCCAAATACGTTTCATATCAGCAGTGGCGGATGTAGTCTTGGCCGCCCTAGACTCCAGCCTATGTAGTAAGTTCCAGCCGCCCCTTTCTCAGTGCCCATCATATATCTCGTTATCATCAGTAAATTTTTTGTCACGATTGGCCGCCCCTAGTATGTGGCGGCCCTAGGCCCGGGCCTATTGGGCCTTAGGGCAAATCCGCCACTGCATATAAGTAAGGCACGCAACTTTTTGTATCCCACTTCTGATATAAGAATTCAAACGTTATTACTTTGATTCTAATATTTCAACTATTCCTGAACTTAAATATTAAAAACTATTATAACGACATTCAGCACTAGTGGTTATGTCACCGTCCGGGAACGCAGCCGAAAAGCAAGTGACCACTGCTCCATGCGACCATTTGCCTCTTCGCTCGAATAGATAAAATCATACCTGGTGGCCAGCGACAACAGTAAAATTAATTATGTTGGTAAAAATACTCATTCTATCGACTTCCTACATTTGCTTAAAAAATGTTAAATATATTTTGTTTATTTAATGAACTTAAAACTAATTTTTTTTTTCTGATAGCTATTTTCAGTTCAAGAGATCAAGTACTTAAGAGAGTATTAGGTAAAAAAAGATTCCAGATCTGTCAGTAATTAGACAAATGTATTTATATGAATATTTGAAAACACGTACAATTATCTTAATACAATACAGAAATTCTCTTTTAAATTTATTATAAATGGACGATTAAATATCATGGTTCGAAAATGTTCAAAAAGCGTAGGTATGGGAGGCGTAAACGCTCTTAAATACATTTTAGATCATATAAATTGCACAGATGGAAATGACGTAAAGGTTTAAAACCAATTCAGCTTTTATTAACTGTTAAGGAATATGGCAAAACTAGATACCGAAAATAAAAATCTAAAAGGGAAAATAAAAATGGTTACAAGACATTTATTTCCAAGTTCTAATTTTGTTAACACAACTATTTCATATTACATATTTATAAGTTTATATGATTGTGAAATATCTTATGATAAAATATTATAGTAAAACAACATTTGTGGAAAAATCAATTTGCAGTAGAAAATAGAAAATAAGAACAAAAAAAAATATTACTATATTTAATACGGCTTATTTATAAGTACACAACTAATTACTTTTTAGAAATCATTGTAGTTAATAGTTTCTTTTTAAATAATTAAAATCTGCAAAGACCAGATAATGGTCAGATAGACTAACTATTTAGAAACAAGCAATTGTTAATTACCATCACAGTTTTCAATATCACATCAAACCCGTAGAATTATTAATATAGAAACGAATTATTAAATTCGTATTCATATTTTCCTTAACTTCGTATACTCACTTACACATTTATAATGTGTAAGTGAGTCACTTATTCAGTTATTCACTTACACATTTATAATGTGTAAGTGAATAAGTGAATACTATAAAAATATAGTATTAACCTATATACTACATAAAACTGAAACTAATTCGCGCACAGAAAGCAATAAGTCCCTTAAACCATTATTAACAAATCATAATATCTTACTTGTATTTCTACATAATTTATTTTACACGACTGTAGATTATTGCAAGAGATATACTAAGAACTAAAAACCATACAACTAACACTCACAACATCTATTTGTACTTACACATTCATACAAACATGTGTCAGGTGATCAGTCAATATAGGTCGTTTACGCCCTTGCGTTGGTATAAAAAAAAATCTATCGCGTTTTCTCTTTTAGCAAGTACTCCCTGATACCCATGAAGTAGGTTGGTATGTACGTCGACCAGACGATTTGGGTAGGCTCAAAGGGGAATCTCGACCGATCGGTGCTGGACAAAGACGCAAAAAGCTCCTGCGCGCGCGTACATCTCATAACCCAGGAATGGGAGGTGAAGTACTGGAGAGTATCTCGAATCTGAATCACCTTCGCATGCATCTTCATGAATCTGTTGGTAAGTGTAACTTTAGCTGTCTGCGCTATGTACGCCATACACGCCACGCTGGTTACTTATGCAGGTTTGCCTGCGCAGATGTTATTAAAAAGAATTTATTTTCGATCTTGCGACGCTCGTGCACAGGTTCAATAAGCTGCACAGGTTTTTTACGGTGGTAGGGCCACGCAACAGCCTCGGCTGTTGCACGAATGGGCAGGCTCGTAGGGGTAAGTACCGCGACCTAACAGAAGACCAGCGTAAAGTGGAAGTATAATACTGTTACGAACACACAATAGCACAAAGAAACTAGCCCCATAGCGTCAACCAGTAAAACCACTCAAAGAACAAAAACAACACGAAACTCCCTACTCAATACTAGATGGCGTTAGAGTAACTACTGTGGAACTATATAGAACTATAGTCTCGAAAACCGGGTACATTCGCGAACTTTCCAGAATCGCGATCACGTTTCGCGAGTCGGGTACGTTCCAGGAAGGAAATTTCTGGAATAGTCTGGGTCTCGTCTCGGCCCATATACAAAGCGGCAGGGAGGCGAGCTAGTTCAGTTCAGTTTGAGCTACCTTCGAGGCGACTTGGAAGTGAAAACTAGTGATCAAGAGTGATACCAGCGAATCCTACGACTTGGCTACAACCTAGGACATCATTAGTGCTTAGTGTTTGGACCTAGTGGCTTGTGTTGGACTTAGTGCTAGTGAATAAAGTCTTCAAATGAGTCAGCAGGTCGTTATCCCCAAATCCTTCAAACCCTAACACGTGACAATACTTTTGCGTTTCGTCTGGTGAGTGAGGTGACCGGAGCCCAATTTTCAAAAGGTTGTCAACGCATCCGCCACCATCGGGTTTAGCAGATGTCTATGAGTGGCGGTGTTCACTTAGCATCAGGTGAACCGTCTGCTCGTTTGGCAACTTTTCACATAAAAAAAGTTTTTTTTCCATACACGCTCGGGTTCACCTGCGTAGCTATCTGCACATGTAGACTTCTCCAGTACACCGTAGCGAGTGTAGGGAACATTACACGCTATGGTTTATCGGAGAGGTCTACCTCTGCAGGTTTGCCTACGCAGGTAGACTTCTCCGGAACCCGAGTGGCAGGGATGGGGCCGTCTGCTGCTATATAAGGGGATCGTGAGGTGCTAGTTGCACCGGCACAGCACGGTTTAATCGGACTGGGTGGCCTAGCACCCTTGAAGGGAAGGCCTAAGAAGGCCATAGTCGTGCGGGGTCGCATAAGATTGCGTTTTCGTGTTCCCTTGTCCCCGCTGAGGCGACGGGTACAACGTGGGTTTTTAGTGGGTACCCGTTTCGGACTTCAACTCCTGCAAACCCCTGACCCTCCCCCGATCCGGTGTGGCAGGAGGAATCCATAAAATATTTTTCCCACTAAAAAATAAAAAAATAAAAGGTAGACCTCGCCGAAAACCAGAGCGTATGTGAGAATAGACCTGTGCATTTTATTGGACCTGCGCAGGCGACCGGCGCAAAATCGATTCTGTCTAGAGACACCCGTGCAGTTTTATCTGAACCTTCTCGGTAGACCGTAGCGTGTGTGGCGCACGTAAGCAACATAGGTTTTAGTATTGAAATTTTTAAACAATGACAAATCAATACACAGATTAGTTAATCAAATTTTAACAACTTGATCAAGGTAAGATGCTTCGCGAAACTCGATTTGCTGTTGATAATATATTATAATTATTGTAGTAGGTGGTAGTTTTTTTTGACGTTCAATAAGAGCTAAAATTAAGCTTATATTGAAGAAAGAAATTTTTAATTTGAGTTTTATAATCAACTAGCTTTTCGCCCGCGGCTTCGCTCGTGTTGAAGCCCTGAAATAAATATCTTTCAACCCTTTACAAAACTTTTTTCCAATAAATAGCCTAAAAAGATAGCCGTGTACCAAAAGATATCTGTGTACCAAATTTCATTTTAATTAATTTAGTAGTTTTGTAGTGAAAGCGAGACAGATAGACAGAGTTACTTTCGCATTTATAATATTAGTATGGATAGTATAGATTAAAATTATAAGGAATATAGTTATGAAGATTTATATTCATATGTATTTAAATATAATCTATATATAAAAATAAGTTTTTGGTACCTGGGTAATTTTCCAAAAAGACGCAGCCAGCAGTCACCGATAAACGCTGGAATTGTTTCCATAACCAATACTAAAAATTTTAGCAACATCTCTGATTCTACAAAATATAGTATTGGGTGTAACACGTCATCTGGAAAAAGATATTTTTAAACGTCTTTTTTTAAAAAAAAGCGTAACTTACACAGGTACTATGGAATTAATAGAACAGGAAGATATAGAATTAAACCTTTGAGAAATTATTTCGGAAACAAATTATAAGATTATTTTCCGGATCGTTACTTAACATTTCGAAAGAAAACAAAAGATGGTAGTGTGTTTGTCTTTATGTATGTGTTGAGTTTCAAAGCAATGAAACTTCGACGAACAGCGTACTACTTCTATGTTTGTATCACGGACTGGCTTTGCTCGACTACCAAAACCACCTCAGGGTAAGTGCTGATGTTGTTGACGACATGCTTTGCTTATACATGTTATATGCTAGCTTCTTGTTTAACCCATTAAATCACTTCCTAAATCACTTTGAATGAATTAAACCATTATTTACCCTTCACTCTACCACATTATTTATAAAAACTTACAGAAATTATTATTGATGCTGTAGTCTATTATAAGGTGAGAAACTTCTCCCATCGTTAGCGCGTTTACGGCCCCTGTGCAGCTGTTGTAAACGAGCACATCTTTCGATCTGTGAAGTGATGTGGCGGTATGTAATAAAAGTTTTAAGGTCTTCTTTATTGGTAATCGGCCAATCGCTTAAAATTAACGTCGGTTAGTAAATGTACATTCCGTTTTGTTTTTTTTTGTTTTTTCCTTAAATGGACGTCAACGGAAACTTAATACAACACATTTGCTTAAATAACTTTAATCCCCGTCTTTCTTGAGGCCGTGTTCCGTAGTTCCAGCAGAATTTATACAGAATTTTATAATCAACAGTTGATGATATAGAATCACTGGATTTGTTAAAATTTCATTTAATTTATTTGCCAATATTAAATCTAACTAAATTACATATATAGTATTACTAAGTATATAGTCCGCGTTGCATGGTGCTGCTAGGCTACATCTCCTCGCTGAATATCGTACTCAATTGTTGAGCGAGAAAACCAGCCCTCTTGTCACCTGACACAACTTAGAAAAACCTGATTTTTCCGGACCTGACCGAAGTACCGCGTTCCCAGTATCAAAAGTTATCGGCTACATTATTCACCACAGGAAGCATACTTATTTGACTTTGCGGTAGAGCCGTCAAAGCTCTCTTAAAGACTGAATTCAAAACGAATGATATTGTTGAGTTAAAAATTTAGTACTGATTTATCACGTACTCATTGATGAAGAAAAACATAAACTTTATATAATAATAACATAAATGTTTGAAGACATGTTATGTCTACCAATCTGTGGTGGGCTCGCATAGTCTATGGTCTATGCCCTTGTTACCCTATTACGTAAGAGTCCTTCGTGCGACAGTGAAACATTTATATGATTACTTGCTGCCCGCGACTACGTCTGCGTAAAATAGGTTGAAGGTGTAACATTCAAACAGAAAGACAGATGTTACTAAAAATATGTATATAAATTATAGCCTACTATGTTTTATTCTGATGTATAAGCTATAATATTTTAAAGCTTCATTAAAATTCGTCCGGGTAAGTACCACAACCTAACAGAAGACCAGCGTAAAGTGAAAGTATAATACTTTTGCGTTTCGTCTGGTGAGTGAGGTAGCCGGAGCCCAGTTTTCAAGCCGTTGTCAACGCATCTGCAACCCTCGGTTGTAGCGGATGTCCATGGGCGGCGATATGCACTTAACATCAGGTGAACCGTCTGCTCGCTTGGCAACTTCACACATAAAAAAGAAAATCCATTCAGTAGTATTTGCGTGAAGAGTCCATCAACACCAGACAACCATCATCCATCCATACATACAAACTTTCGCCTTTATAATATTTGGAAGGATAGAATTGGGTGTTTATTTACTTTAATTCACCCAGGTCTAATATAACACCATAGTACTTTCCCGTACTAGCCAGTCTTATTCGCCGGACAACAGAAATGTCTGTTGCACGAATGGGCAGCCCAGCCACTGCTTAATTGTTCCATTACCATCTATACATTTGTACAACAGCAGAAACCCTCTTATTCCACAATACCTTACACAATATATATATATATAAATAAAAAACATATATAATATATATATAAATATAAATTTTAAAGTTTTTTTATAGTGATTATCTCTGCACTTAAGATTGAACATTTTTCTACATGTTTTAAAGTTTTAATATATATATTGAAATAAAGTTAATTAATATTTAATCGCAGACTTCCTCACGGCAGTTCAATTGAACTGATAAGACGCGAAAAAAATCATATAATTGAAAATTCATATCTTATACTGTTAGAGCCTTACCCATTGGCTCTTGCGGCTGCCACAATGGTGAGATTTGTTACGTAGTCGACGGGGATAAGGTCTAGGATGTTGCTCTTCCTACTTAGTAGTATACGATTAGCCCCTTTCGCGACTGTAGTGAGTAGGCCGGTTGCACCATACCAATGGTCTACCCAACCCCTTACTGGCTCATTCCAGCTCGCAGACACTGAAATTTTATTAATATTGATATTTCATATCGGTTTTTTTTTCGTACCAGTATGCAATCCAAATAAAACTTAAAGTATAATCCACATTGTAAGATATACATATAAATTGTCGAAAAATATTTTACAGGATTCGAATCAGCGTTTTTCCACATTTTTTGTTTGATTTCTAGAGCATATTATCGTTAAAAGTAAAATATAAACAAGTCAAGGTGTACTCAAACATACTATGCAAAATATGCTAAAATACAAAATAAAATTATATAGGTATGAGATTTTTTCACCATGAGGTTATAGGGCCCTTAGCTCAAATTCTAGAGAACAAAGAAGACGAAACTTTAAATATAATGCTTAAAACTTTGTGTCAAGTTTTTGAATGAAACTGACATTTTAAGCATTCAATATCAAAAAAGTATGCATAATTGCATTACAAGTTTGCAATTCTCTATGCCATTTCCATGTGCACTTTTATTAATGTGCTTGCTTATGTGGGTAGCGAAGAGATGTCTATTTTGTACTTTTATTAGTTTCCTTATACCCGTTCGCCGTAGACCAAAAACTGAATGGACGAGAGTTACTTCCAGAAGCAAAAATCCAGGAAGGGTCATTTCCGTTGGCTATATTTATAAACTATCATTACTATTATTATTATTTATTATTGTCACCATTTTTTTTTGTTTTGCTTTACAAATAGGAACCAACCTATTGACGGTCTGATTATAATCGATGGGACGTTTCCATGTTCTTCTTTCACCAGAGTCTCCGTAAGTGCTTTGACGAATGTATAAGTGTTTGGTCTGCAACCTGAAAACAAATGTTTTTGGTTTTAATGAATATCTCATCATCTTTCATATTTGGTACCTGGTGAATTTGATTGTTTATCAAAATCTGTGTATAATTATATATATATAAATTTCTTTTAATCGCGCTAAGCTCTTTTAGATGTCAAATCCTTTTCAATTTAGAGAATATTGTAAATCCATTATGAATAGGATATACCTGAAATTAATATAAATCAAAGAGTGCCAATCAACTAGTGTTTGGGGAGAAATTAAAATCTTTACTGACTTAATAGATTGCTTGTTTGTACTGCATTGCTGCACCCTTGTTCGATAATCTTGTACACCTCATCTATTGACGCGGGAGGAGGATAAACTACTTCTTCCAGTACCGCTCGATCCGTATTAGAATAAGCAGTGGACACAAAGACGAATACCTGGCAATGGAAAGCATAAAACATTTTTAAATTGAATAATTTCCTCGGATTTGTCGTTTTGTTTAAAACCTATTTACGCAAAAAGTTGATCAATAATTTTAAAAAGTTAAAACATATCGAAGCAAAAATAAATAATTTTATAAAATGACCATATACTGGCTTTACAATAATATTCGGACGTCTTCTTCAGCTCCATCCTGTCATGACCTTAATTGCTGCAAAGCAGTCGCAAAGCCAGGAATTTAAAACGAACACAAATGGTGTTACATTTAAAAATTGATAAAATTTTGGCTTTTTGTGTTATTTTTTTTTTCAAACATCGATTTTGGGACAGTACTGATAGCAGGGACAGTGTGTTATTTGTTGTTTTATTTATTATTACTTATTTTTTACTCATATATTATAAATACATACACGCACATGTCACTGAATTGAATCAGATTCACAATAGATGGCGCTTCCTACATAGTACATATTCACATATTATGAACTTAAGTTATAGCGTTAATTTTGACTATTTGGTCATTGACGGGGATCATAATCCAGAATATTATATCTCAATTTCGATCAAGTTTTATCATGATACCGCCTTAAAATACCTTTGTTATTTTTAGCACTAAATTGAAATATTTTTACATTGTTATATTTATTAGTTAATAAATTAAAATAATTTCAAATGACTCAAAAAATCTGCGTTTAACGGACATTCTGAAGGGATGTATGGTCATGGCCTCATGAGTTGCTTTATGTTTTTTTTTTTTTTTTTTTTTTTATTACATACATGTATGTCCTAATTGAGACTTGGACAAACAACAAAATCTGATTCCATCTGATAAGTGATGTACTTATAATAACATACCTCGATGTATTTCATGCGTTGACATAAATTGAGTACACGTCTAGTACCCTCGTAGTTGACATTCATAGCAATTTTCAGCGTTTGATTGAATTTGATATTCGCAGCGCAATGGAACACACATGAAACCTGAAATCCCACTAATGTTGTAAATATTAAAGTTTATATGGGTGTTGTGACTAATACCCTTCGAGCTGCAGTTGCTGCTTGGATTTGAGTTTAGTTTACAATTAAGATTTATGATGCGCTGGCCTAACGCGAAAGATAATTTATTATCGAATACGTAACTTATTTATTCTAACCTATTCAAAGTTCTGGTACTGTGAATGCAGATTAGGACAGGTTTGGCTGTACAAGTCTGCTTTCACTTAGAAAAATAATATTTTTAACTAGATTTTATTAATGATAACATGAAATCACAATTATTCTTATGTGTAATGAATTTACGGTGGTAGAGCCAAGCAGCAGCCTCGGCTGTTGCACGAATGGGCAGGCTCATCCGGGTAAGTACCACGACCTCACAGAAGACCGGCGTATGACAAACACTTTCGCGTTTCGTCTGGTGAGTGAGGTAGCCGGAACGCAATTTCCAAAAAGGTTGTCAACACATCTGCAAACCCTCGGGTGTAGAAGATGTCCATGGGCGGTGGTATTCACTTAACATCAGGTGAACCGTCTGCTCGTTTGGCAACTTTTCACATAAAAAAATCACTGATTTGAAGAAGTATAGTTTTCAAAGCAATTCAAGGTGAATTGCTGCCTTGAAAACTTCTACTTTACGCCGGTCTTCTGTAAGGTCGTCATACTTAATCGGACGAGCCTGCCCATTCGTGCAACAGCCGAGCCTGCTGCGTGGCCCAAAGTTAAATCACTCAAAAATATCACACAATATCACTCAAACTACAATAGATAACGTATTCTACATAAGTAGTATTTTTACACATAGGAATAAATACTTGTAAATTAAATTTAAAGTACATTACTTTAAATTTTTTTCGTTTAAGTAATGTCTCGTTTATTCAATTCTTTAAAAGAGATATACTTAACTGCATTCAAAGAATGATTTGTAATAAAAACTTAATAAGGTGTCACAAATAGATCTAAATCGTGACATAATTTTGGAAAGGAGTTTAGGTCAGCTACGTATAATTAGTTATGCTCAGCTATTAATGTTTTGTTGTAGACTACAAGCACTTCTTACCTTATCAATTAGCAAGCGTTCATCTTCTTCGCATATGCCAAGATTGGGTAGAATTAAATCACCTAATACAGGTACCACTTTTTTCAAATCTTCTGGTCTTTCTTTCTGTAGTCTATGGAAAACCTTGAAGACAAAAAAGTGTTATTACAATTATTAATAATAAGTAATAATTTGTATTCTCTAAAACTAACCGTAAAAAACAGTAAAATTACTTATTAACTTACTTAATAACAGAGATCATTAATACTTATCGTCAAAGCAATAATCACACAAATATTGGCAAAAACTGAAATAAGAGAAATACAATAAATGTAGTTAACGCTTGCATTAAATACCGAAGTTAGTAATGTTTGCTTTATAAAAAATATTTTAAACACACAATATCAACCATATAAACAGAAATAATGCGTATTCAGATTTTATTGTATCTAAAATACTTGGAACAGAGGTTTCTTGAGGGTCATACAAATAATTATAACAACGGTCCTGGCCCTAAGATGCGTAATACTTAGCAACTAGGATTCACTCTTTTAATTTTACATGTCTCTTAACTATTTACGTTTACTATTTCAAAACGCATAGATGATATTGGGAATGCCACTTTTGACAAAACATGAACAATAACATGCCCTTTTTGAACTCTTACCATCATTGTGTTGGCAATGAATTACGAAGAATCTATGTCAGGCGTTTATTCCACAGATGGTGAATAGGATTACTGTCATAAGAAGTTAATAGTATAAAGCAGGGGTGAGCAACCTTTTTAATCAATGGGCCAATTTAAATTTAAATTTTTTTGGCTGGCTGCACATAATAATTTACGAAACTTTATTTATAATAAATATTAGAATAAAAAACATAAAAAAAAAAAAAAATATTTCATATACAAATTTTAATGCAAGGTAAAAACAAGCAAGAAAAGAACAGAAAAACGAACAAAAAATATTTCGGTTCAGTATGTACTACCATTTTATTATAATTAATTTTATAACACTATATTGATTGGAGAAATTCGATAAAATAAATTCAATTTTAGAAATGCTTGGCGGGCCGCATATACATGTTAAACGGGCCGCGCGTTGCTCATCCTTGGTATAAAGAATAAAAAATATACCAAGCCAAGCATTGCTTCACATGCTAAAAAAATAATGTAGATAAATGACGTTAAGATTTTCGTCGGTGTGGCAATCAGCCGTTTAGCTTAGTGGCTAGAGCGTCAGGTCGCGAATGCCGAAGACGTGGTTTCGATTCCCACAGCGGCGACAATATTTTCGATAGTTTTAATGTTTTAATAAAAAACATATATTTTTTTAGAAAAGTATAAAGAAGTTAATGTATAATAATAAATTAGATTAATTTAGAACACATTATATATTCTATAATAAAAAACTTCTCGAAAAAACCAGACACTGCATCCGGTCCTAGGTTCACCATTCTATCGGGGAAAAGCACTATAATATCTCCTGCGCACCTGACTGCTACCGTAGTAATAAAAATCTATTAATTATTATTATGATATTAATGATTAAGTAACCACCTACCGGTAGATTGACCAGCTGCTTGATTCTCTCCCGTGCGTCAGATTTCTGTTTCTCTCGTATTAGAAGGAAAATCTTATCGATATTAGGGCAACTGTATAAAAGTTTCTCCACAAGAATCTAAAAAATAAAGCGCAAATTTTTAACTTTAGTAAGTAGCTCTTGGTAGTTCTTAATTTCTTAAGTTACTTTAATTAGGCTTTCATGATGAAGAGAATTAAGTGATTAATTAAATTTTTGGTGAGGTTTTATGAGATTGACATGGTAAAGATATATTTCACATGATTTAAATGTCGTCCCTTAAGTTTTTTGGTAATACGCAGGCCGTTTACCCGATGTCAAGTGATTACTGACACTCATGGTCTGCCAGAACATGGTTTGCAGATGCTATGCCAACCTTCAAGCGGTTTGGCTCAGACTACGTCACTCACTACAAACGCAAGGTTCAGGTTGGCCGGAGCAAGGAAAATGTGTTGAGGTGGGGACACTCGGAAAACTCACACCTGGACTGTATGTGTGGTGCAGCGCAGGTGCAAAGATATGATTTGTCATCGACCCGTAAAGAGAAGAGAGACTACAAACGCAAAGGTATGTAATACTTCTACTACACGTTGGTCTTATGTAAGGACGTTTGTATTCTATAAAGACGGACGGACGAGCCTGCCAATTTACGCAACAGCGTAAACTGTATCGTTGTACAAAGGAGTTTTTATCTTCTATTGTGGCAGGGCAACAGTGTTTATCGTTGTACAAAGGAATTTTTATGTGGCAGGGCTACGCAACAGTGTTCACTGTTGCACGAATAGGCGGGTCCATCCGTCGGGGTAAATACACCTCACAGAAGACCGGCCTAAAGTGGAAGTGTTACACTTCTGCATTTCGTCTCGTGAGTGAGGTAGCCGAGGCCCCCTGTATTTAAAGGTGACAACCAATTAGTAATCCCAAGGGTGTTGCTAATGTCCATGGGCGGCGGTTATCACTTAACATCAGGTGAACCGCCAGTTCGTTGGCCACTTTCTCGCTTAAAAAAAACAAATTTCCAACTTAATCACCATATCGCTAGGCATAACAAAAAGTGTTTGTGTTCTGACACAAAATTTTATAACGAGGTTTTTTGATATTATACTTCTTATGACGTGTTAAATTATAAGGGTATTTTTTACATGAATCTTTGAAAATGTAATTATGAACTGGCTCTTAATGTAGCAATGACTTAAATAACGCATATTATGTAAATATGATGTAATTGCTTACTAGCCCAAATACCGTTTCCTACTGAAAACGGTAATTGGAACCACTTGATATCCAAACACCCATGTTTAACGCTGTCGGTATCGATGCACAAAAATATATGGAAGCCCCCTATGAAAAAAAAAATGCATTAATGACTAAATCTAACGAAAACTAATGTCTTATTCTATCTATAAGTAATTGTAATATCTTTTTAATGTGGACATATATGTGGACGTATATACAGATTAAAATAAATGCAATTTCGTGATTTAAATTAGCTATTTGATTGCATCCAAAAAGTGAAACAGAAGATGTTATTATTTTAATATTAATTTAATTCTTTTTTTTTATAGAAAAGGAGGCAAACTTGTAGGCGGGATAAACTGGTAGGGGGTCACAAATACGTTGCCGTCTTTGAAGGAAAAATAGGCTTCTTGAAGGTCCCTAAGTCCTATGGGTCCGGAAACAGGGCTGGTGAGAACCGATACCAACTTGGTTGTGCGTAGTAAAAAGTTACGTGAAAGACGCACAGCAGTAGACTGCCAACCATGGAGGTGGTAGCGATGGTATTTGGTGATGCGTCGTTAGTTAATCTTGAGTGTATTCGTATTCTCTCATCCAAATCTTGATGTCATGGAAACAAACACAGGGACAATCTCTTCTTCTTTTTTGGTATTTACTATCATGAGTTAATGATAACGACGATATAGATTTTACCTTTCCCAAAAACCCAGTTCCGCCGGTAATGAAAACTGATTTACTGGCATAGAAGTTTTCAATCGAATCCGGAGTTTCTGTGCCGTTCGGTAAAGCCATTATCTGAAAAATAACGAGTTATCAAAATCTGAGAAGAGTTTTTGCGGTATATGACGTAGTTTATCGTTTATTATTTATTTAATTTTAGTTTTAGTATCTGCATGTGAAATTTAACATAAAATTTGTAGATAATTTGTAGAAAAATTTTTCGCTTCTGCCAGGATTTGAACCTGCGTCAAAGCTAAGCAGTCGATAAACTCACTGCACGGAAATCTCGACATAAACAAACAATATTTAGGACACATTCTAAATCTTATCTACATTGTGTTTATTTTGTTATCTTATCGTTTAAACGAGGAATTCTTGTATATATATATATATATATCACGCTACCTTTTGTGCACCCTTTCATTTGACATTATTGTGACGTCCACCAGTTCCACTTAAAAATTTTCAACTTTTACTGCGAATATTAGTCGCTAGGGCAGTGTCAAAGACTGCTTACATCTTATTTTTCAGAAATTTTAATTCTTAATATATAGACAAATATACGTAATTTATAATATAATATACTTAATTTATAATATAATATACTTAATTTATAATAATATACATAATTTTATTTACAGTTTCCTATCTATTAAAACTCCTATGAACAGTGCGATGTTGCCGCTGTGCTTTCTGTATTAAAATATAATAAGTTAGTGGATAATTACTATATATCTAAAGAACAGGCATGCTAGAGTAAATGTGAAGTTTATGGTTATGAAAAATAAAATATGAGTTCAAATGTCATTTATTACGATAGCATTAATTAATACGTTAAATAGGTCAATATGCATATTTCACAGGTATTTAGATATAATTATACGAGTATATGCAATGTCGTAAAAGTTTCAAACTAGTATTCATTTGACATCCTGGACGTAAAATGACAAATGTTATAAAACTTTTACGATATTGTAACGTTCGTATATGTGTATATACATTATATGTCTTAGTTTAAAGCCTGCTAAACAATAAACATAAAAAAATGTAAAATTAATAAAATCGCGGATTCAAATATAACATTTTAATTTTATATTAAAAAATTACATAATGATTTTTGTATATAATTTGACCCATTTAACGTATTAATTTTAGTGTAAAATTAACAACAACAATCGGATTCATCTTTATAATAATGATCATAAATATAATGTTTGCAATGGAGGCAACAAAACTTAGGAAATCCAAGAAAATAAAAAAAAATCGGTTTCATTCATATGAGCAACAATATGCCACGGTCGATCGTGAAAATAAACAGTAATTAAAAAAGGACGGAAAGATTTTCGCCACTGCGGGAATCGAAGCCACGTCTCACGGATTTCTTCCGTCAAGACGTTTTAACTACTAAGCTAAAAAATTGAATATCGCAATCATAATCGTGATATTCAATTTTTAATATCGATATATCGGATCAAAATATATCGATATATTATTAAGAAAATATCGATATATCCATATTTTTCCGCATCCCTATCGAACAGTTGAAATTTTCACAGATTATGTTTTTCTGTTGCCGCTCAACAAATACTAAAAGACAAAATAAAAAATGTTAAGTGGGAGCCCCATACAATAGACATGATTTTTTTAGACTCCAGAAGAATATGCAGTAGCTATCTACTTGCTTGATCCTCTGTCTTGACCTCTATCTTGTAAAGTAAAAAAGTAAAGTATCAGCCCATACATATCCCACTGCTGGACAAAGGCCTCCACTGTACAGTGGGTATCAGGGCATAGTGCATCAGACTCCATCGCAGATTGGCGGACATCACATATCTTCGAAAATATTTTTTTTGTTATTATTTTCAAAATATGCAGGTTTTCTCACGATTTCCCTCGTCGCTGAGCACGTGATAATTCAGCACTTAAAATTAACAATTTCATGGTTCCGGGTATCGAACTAGAAGTTGTTCGAGTACATTAAATTAAAGGTGAGCACCCGGACACCGAGCTATCACGGCCTTTATCTTGACTTAAAGAAATTGAAAGGAAGTTAGCGTGTCTGTTAAAATTTAAACAAAAATCCCGAAAATACGCAGTGCTCCTTGGAACTCCCAGGTTGTGAAAAGTAGTAGTCACTTTTTTGCGTTGATGATTTTAAATTTAACTGTGGTTGGACCATGCAACAGCGTTCACTGTTGCACGAATGGGCAGGTCCATAAGTACCACGACCTCACAGAAGACCGACGTAAAGTAGAAGTGTTACACTTCTGCGTTTCGTCCGGCGAGTGAAGTGCCGGGGCCCACTTTATTTAAAGGTAGTAGTAGTAAGGCAACGCATTTGCAACGGGTGTTGCATATTTCCATGGGCGGCGGTTATCACTTAACATCAGGTGGACCGCAACTCGTTAGTCACTTTCTCAAATAAAAAAAAAATATAGTTTAAATGTGTAACTATAAGTCTTTTCCTTTACATTCTTCATAATAAATAAATTACACTTAGTTATTTCGCTTTATATTATTTACTATTTTATATTTGAAATAATACTTAACTAAGTATGTTTCTAGTCATAACAATCATTTTTATGTATTCTTCTATGTCGAGGCATAACGACTTTGATATTTGGCAATGAAATAATTATTGTACTTAACATAATATGATAAAAAATTAAGGTAGGTATGTTAAAAAGTAGAAAGAAAACCAGTCAGGCTTAAATATAAAGGACAGAAGATTTGAGCCTCCTTCTTTTTTCGAATTCGGTTAAGTCCGTTTTTACCTACTATTACTTGAATTCATATTATAAAATAGTATCTACCCAAAATGAAAACAATCCATTTCGCTTAAAAAGACGGACGCAATATCACATATCAAGTGAAAGCTTGAGAAAAGTGTGTATATTCACGAATTCCTATATAAAAATCCTGTACAAAATCCTATAAAATCAAGTGGTGTGCACGATGTCGCAACGTCGCATTTCGATCTATCGCTGGACGTCATATACGGCTAGCAATGAAAGATTAGAATAATGACGACAGCGCCTTTAGTTTTTGCTACGAAATCTAGCGGAACTAAAGGAATATACAGAAACGCAAGATTGCCGATGAACCGACGTCCAAATTATTTTTTTACTTTTGACTTTTCTGATATCACCAAGGCAAGCCGCGATCATTGAGAACATCCTCCGATCCGACGTCCGTATATCGGACGTCCAAAGCAGGTTGACGCCAGATTATATGCAATTTTCGCCATAGTGGACGCACAATAGGTAGCGTGATATATATATATATATATATTTATACTTCGTTGTTACACCTTAGGCTAAAGGCTACAATGGGCGGACTTAATGCCTAATGGCATTCTCTACCAGTCAACCCTTGTCATGGTGAGAAGTAGATGGCAGGTGCTAAACCAAGGAAAATATATACATAAAAATTAAATATAATGTGTGGGCATATATGAATATATATATTGGAAACGGCTCCAGCGATCTTCATGAAATTTAGTATATGCGTACATTCGGGGGCGAAAAATCGATCTAGCTAGGTTTCATTTTTAGAAAATGTCCTTTTATCCCTGTTTTCAGGGAACGAAAAATATCATTCGAATATGACGGTAAATTTCGCCGAAACAAAAATATTATAATAGCTCGGTCGGTATTCGGGCGGCCGCGACACAAAAGGCCGTGGTTTGTGTCACGATCATTTACACAATTATTTTTGACTATTTTTTCGATTCATTGCTCTTTTTTTTTTTTTTTTTTTCAATTTGTTATTTTGTTATTTTTTCCCCTTTTTTTAAAGTTCTTTCTTTTGTGAAAAACACCAGTTCATATTTTCTTATTATTACGTCGGTAAGATCTAAAAACATTATGCATATTTCATTACTCTGTAAGTTGTATCTAAATGTAATTTCCAAAATACACGATGTACCAAAAAGAAAAACAAACCGAGCAAAGCTCGGTCCTCCAGGTACTTTTTATTTATTAATTTATTTGCAAGAATAAGGTAATACATAAACCTTAAATCTAATACACTTTACAATTACATTTCAAGCAATACTTAACACCATTTAATGTGCTTCCTTTATAGGATAATTATAATTATGCTAATAACCTTTCATGGTCAACATTTATAAACTGTATACTTTTGTTATAAAGTCCTGCGATCAGTAATTTCTTAACCACTATTATAGCTTATTAAATCAAACGGAATACAAAGTTGTGTGCTACAAAAAAATTGAAATTTATAAATTTTCATGAACAGCGTATTTGCTATATGCAAATTATAACAACCACAGTCAGTACTAGAGATTTAGGCTAGTAATTTAGTCAAGTACTGAATAATTTTGTAACTAAAAGTTTTTGCACGACAAAATTGAATCGAGTAGACTAATAAATCATTTAATGAAGTCTATCCATTTCGTTCTACTTTTTTCGGCGAGTAGCGTATCACTGGCGTCGCTGCTTACTCTTAACATGTATAAAGAAATCAGGACCATGATTGAAAGGTGGCGGGCATCGGATGGATGCGGGCTGCCCAGGACTGGGATAGTTGGCGCACGTTGGGGGAGGCTTACTTTCAGCCCCCTCCGACCGGGTTCCCGCCTTGACGTGGCGGAGGGGCTTAGTAGCCCGCTGGCAGGGTCGCGGATGTGTGCGAAAGTGTTCCCGTGACCATGCCGATATGCGCCTAGGTGTAACATCGTGGGGGTTTTAGTCGGTGCGAGTCCGACATAACCCGCTCTTGCCCCCGCGAGGGCGGGTATGCGTAGGCATTTCCCCCACGTCAACAAAAAAAAAAGGCTTACTTTCAGCACCCCTCCGACCGGGTTCCCGCCTTGATATGGCGGAGGGGCTTAGTAGCCGTGGGTGACCACCCACGGCGAAGCTAAGAGGAACCCACACTGGGCCGGCCTGTGGTGTAATTCCGGCCCGAGAAGGCCGCTCCGAGTGGGCTCATCGAGCCTACTCTGGATGCGTACTAGAGGGTGTAGAGGACAGGTTGAGGGTGGTAAAAGTGGAGCCACTCTCCCTGTCTTCTGCTACCGAGGAGGAGTCGCGGGGGAAAAGGAGTAC